TATGGGCAGTTTTCGATGAGCGACGACAGTTACAGTGGGTGAACACAACAACACATTTTATGTTTCTTTCAGGTCATACAGATAGAGCATTGTCTACTCTATAAGATGGTATATCACAACTATACGGGCATTGGGGTATTGGACGAGAACGAATTGCTCTAAGGTACCCTCTCAATAGGGTTCTCTCACTTTTCTTATCGTGATAATGCTAGTAAACGTTGCATGTTTCACGCTTTTAAGATAACACCCCATGGGACATCCTTAATAGAAGAAGCAACTTCTACACGAATAGATTGAGGTTCTAGAGGCCCATACTGTAGATCACTAGGAGTACAGGATAGCAAGAACTTTGCATTTCGCAGGGCGATGGAAGCCTACTTCGGGGCATACAAACTACGGTACCGATACTGTTCTGTTAGTGGTGCTACGTAAGCAGCTGTTTTGAAGGAATGCGACCAATCCCTATCGTTAATTCGGTTCTGGCAATTCTGCAAGTGACGAAGCACCAAAAGCTCTTCTTCCCGTTGGGAGCAACTGACAATTATGTGTTTTCAAGTTCTCGTTTGGCACGGAAAGAGCACTTTAAATGCTATATTTCCTACACAGTATTTACTTTGCGTACCGGTACAGTACGGTATGATGTATGATGCACTACCGGTAGGGTCATTTGGATAGCCTGGGAAGGTACCCGTAAAAGTGATTAGTTGAAGGGGCTCCAGAGGGGAGAAGGAGGAGGGTTAAGCTAGTCTGGACAAAGGCATCTAGTTGCACATGTTTTGAGTTGTGGTACCCGTAAAAGTGATTAGTTGAAGGGGCTCCAGAGGGGAGAAGGAGGAGGGTTAAGCTAGTCTGAACAAAGGCATCTAGTTGCACATGTTTTGAGTTGTGGTACCCGTAAAAGTAACCAGTCAAGAAATGCACTCCAGAGGGGATTATGTACAAGTACATGTAGGTACGGAACGTACCCTTTCGAAGTATCTTAAAACAAGGGTGGAAAGGTAAAATACGTTATCTTAAACATGAGTGCGAGTTGCGCGCCGTGCGCGCATAGAATGACGTCAGTCACGCGAGGTGCGCGCGACGACGTCATGCGCGAACCTCTACGTGCAAACCTGTAGAAAGCTACGTACGTATTGCACGTAGGCTTTCTACAGCCGTGTAGGTTTTGTACTTGCACGCTACAGAGGTAGTATAGTACTGTATTTGCTATAGTAAACATGACTAATCGGTCCTCCTTCTTCAACCTGGACCAGTTGCCGGTAAAGGGATTAGTCTCCTGTCTCGTGAAAAACCCATGGCAACCCACTCTCTGCATGTACCGGTCGCTAAAAAAATTTTCTTTTTGAAACTTTCCTTCTTAATTTAAAAAAAAATGAGCTATGAAGCCAAGAGCGAATCTGCCGCAATCGGAGCGAGCGGCAGTGATGATGTTGACTTGCTGGTACCAGTATCGCTGGGCCGAACGCTTCGTGCACCGAGAAACGAGCAAGGCGAGGACGACGACCCAATTCTTCTCGAGAACGGTGTTCTACCAACACTGCTTCCTCCCGATGCCACCGAGCAAGAAAATGGGAAAACTGAAGGTGTAAAGTCCACGAAGAAAGCGAATGACTCCGAGACGTCGACAAAGCTCGAGGATAAGTTGGATGTTTGTCTTGGCAACGCAGAATGGACCATGTGCCAGGATCAAGAGACTCCAGACGGTGCTTCGGCTGTTCCCGAGGGTCTTGAGCCTTGTGCCTTAGTCCCGGCTGACACGCACATTGTACAGGAGATTATTACCCCTACCTCCCAGCCCGGGGCGTTTGCTTCCTATCCAGGAGGCCGCGCTTCTCGGGTGCTGTCGTATGCTCTCATGCCGGACGAAGGAAGTGATGACCCTGAAGCAACCGCAACCCACACAATTGAGTCATCCAGGCATCTCCAAGATCACTCAGGTCTGGCGGAAGCCACTCCGGTGAGCCACGAAAACCCTGCTGCGTCCTTGCCTGGTGCAGTTCCATTTGATCGTGAAAGGCTCCAAACAGAACGGACCAAGAAAGATCGCCGACAGCTTCTTGGCCTTGGAGCTATTCTCCTTGTAACGCTGGTCGTGATTGTTGTGGTTGTTATCGCTGTAACATCACCAGATGACCCAAACAGCCAAATGGAGACTGTCAGCAACGGATCTCCCATGGACACACAAGGGAGTAAAGGGCAGGTTGCACGAACGTCTACACCTTCCATTTCGCCAACCTTTGCTCCATCTGATGCTCCCAGCGCGACCCTCTTTGGCATCTTGCCCGAGTCTAGCCAGGTGGCCATCTCGGACCCGTTGTCTCCTCAGCGAAAAGCATACGACTGGTTTCTTGAGTACCCAAACAACACAGCCCTTGAAGAGTGGAGGCAAATCCAGCTGTTTGCCTTGGCAACCATATTCTTCTCCTTGAATGGGGAGGAATGGATTCCAGCAATTAGAGATGATTGGCTCGTCTCTTGGAAATCGGAATGTGATTGGTTCTCATCTTTGTTTGCAAAGCTTTTGCAATACACGGCTCTTAGCCTTATTCGCGACTCGATCCTAGATAGGGTTTGAGTTCGACTCATGACTGAGTCTCTCGTGAATAGTCATTTGAGACAGGGTTCTCATGACCGCGCTAGTCATACTAGTTGATGATGAAACATCGCTCTAGATATTTAGCCAGCGTGGAGTACTTCCACGCTACTAGATCCAGGCTAGACAAACCTTCCACGCGTTTCCGTTTTGGATCGTGGAGAGATAGGATTCTACCCAACCTACTCTATCACATTAAGTCTCCCGCGGGAAGCCAGATTACGATCCTTGATGATGATCTCTCTCGTTGATTAGTTTTCATAGCTTTCTAATCTCTCTCATAACTTTCATTTCTCTCAAACTCAAAACACTCGAAAGATCTTTACACTAGCTTTTACGTAGTGCATTTTGTTAACAAACACAATAGCTTTCAGCTACCCTCAACCTATTCCTTCACCATGAAGATGCTCAAGGAAAGCATGCGTTCCGTAACTTCGAAAAACAGTTGCGTGACAAACCATTCTTTTCTCTCGTCGACAATGACAAGAAAACGAGATCGACGATACTCGTGCAACCACTTGCAAACTTCGCAACATGTTGCCAAGCGCAATCAGAAGACTCTGACAATGGGGACAACTCCTCTATCAATTTCAATCACTTGGATGGAGAAATCTCTATTTGAGGATTAGGCCAGGATGATGATCACGGAACCATGTTCCGATTTCTCATACCAAAGTGATGAAGATATCTCACTAACTAGTAAACAAGAATTGTTTGCAACTGATGAACACTACGGCAATTAGATGATTGCCTAGAAGCTGCTCAACTAGACTCTGATGATCTATTTAGCATCGTTAACCTCGTCCGGGCCAACCACCTCGTAAACGTGCAAACAAGAGACCTCAAACCCATCGTCTATGTTAGATTTAACAAGCGAGAAAAGGGAAACCAAAACCCGTTACACTCCGTTTCTTACTGGATACAGGATCATCCGGAACTTGATTGTCAAACTCATGCTAAGAAATTACGCATGAAGGATCTTGGGGGCGTCCAAACAATGTGGGACTACCCCTACAGGAGATTAAACACCAGCACGAAGTGCAAAGGTGCATTCATGATTCCTGAATTCCACGAAGATAGAATTATCGAGTGGATTTACACGTCACCAAGAGCTGGGGCGTATGACATGATCATAGGTCGAGATATTCTCTTTGACTTAGGATTCAAGTTCGATTTCACTACCATGTCAGTGGAATGGGACGGCGCATCTATTCCTATGAAAGACAGCGACACCAATAAGAAGAAACTTTTTCAATCCTGATCCTACTGCTGTTGAGACAGTCAGATCGTCTAAAGAAGATTCTTGATGCGAAATACAACAAGCTGACTTAAGGCGGTTTGCCAAGTCAAGATCAGTTAAACACGGAAGAGAAGGAACAGCTTCATTCCTTACTGACGAAGTACTCTGACCTATTCGATGGTACTTTAGGAAAGTGGCAGATGGACGACTACGAAGTAGAACTTCTCCCTGATTGCTAAACCCTACATGCCAGGGCTTATCCTATTCCACGGGTCCTACCAACACTCTTAAGATGGAGGTTGAACGTCTCTGTGAGGCAGGAGTACTCAAGAAGGTAAACGTTCCGAGTGGGCGGCACAAACTTTTACATTCCAAGAAAGATGGATCTGTCGATTCATCTCTGATTTCCGGGAACTGAACAAAAGGATTAAGCGGAAGCCTTATCCTATCCCAAAAATACAGACATGCTCTTGAATCTAGACGGATTCAAGATACGTACTAGTCTAGACCTGAACATGGGATACTATCACATCGAGCTGTCACCTCACTCGAAGCAACTCTGTACCATCGTACTCCCGTGTGGGGAAAGTACGAGTACCAGAGGTGCCAATGGGCCTATGTAATAGTCCCGACATCTTCCAAGAGAAGATGGGAACACTAATGCACGACCTAGAATACGTCCGTGCATACATTGATGATCTACTCATCCTTACTAACGGCGATCTAGCAGATCACGTTGAAAAGTTGGATGAAGTTCTCCGAAGGCTTCGAGAAGCCGGACTTAAGATCAATGCTACCAAGTCCTTCTTCGCAAGAGGAGAACTTGAGTACCTAGGTTACTGGATTACTCGAGAAGGGATCCAACCTATAACCAAGAAAATAGACGCGATCAAGAATATCGCTCCTCTCCTACCAACAGAAAGGAACTCCGTAGATTCATTGGACTAGTGAACTACTATCGAGACATGTGGATTAGACGATCACATGTACTGGCCCCACTCGCTTCGTTGACTTTCAAAACAACGAAGTGGGAATGGGAAGCGAACACGACAAGGCCTTTACAGATGAAGAAGATCATCAGAAAAAAAACCTTGCTCGCCTACCCTGACTTCAACGATACATTCGTTATCCCCACGGATGCGAGTGATACTCAACTAGGTGCAGTAATTTCCCAGAAGGGGAAAACCTATCGCGTTCTACAGTAGGAGCTCAACCCTGCTCAGACACGTTACACAGTTACCGAGAAGGAACTTCTCAGTATCGTAGAAACTCTAAAGAGTTCCGTAACATTCTCTAGGACAGAAGATCGTGTACATACGGACCACTAGAATCTTACATGTAAGAACTTCAAATACGATCGCGTAATGCGATGGCGCCTTATTCTGGAAGAATACGGCCCTGAACTACGGTACATCAGGGCGAACAGAACATCGTCGCTGATGTTGTCGAGACTTAACTCTCCAACAAGAACGGTTTTCAGAACAATGGAGCAGCGAGATCGCTGAAGCTCAGGCTGCAGACGAAGAGGACTCCCTAGCGAGTTCCCTCTCTCGTCCCCGAGATCGAACATCGTCAGAAAAACGACAACGAAAACAAGAACTCCTCAGGGACAAACCAAACGACTACAAGAAGCAATCTTTCCCCAGAGGGTAAGTCCTACGACTTGTAGTAAGGACGATAAAATCGCGTACCTAAAGACTATGCAGAAGAAGCTAGTTGAATGGTACCATGGTGTGCTGATGCATCCTGGCGAGACTCGCACAGAACTAACATCAGCAACACTACACCTGGAAAGGACTGCGCAGACTGTGCAGGCCGTATGTCAGCGTTGCCAAAGCTGCCAGAAGAACAAACCAAGACGCGTAAGCTGGGATTGATGCCTCCAAAGACTGCGAGGAGATCCCTTGGGAAGACTATGTATTGACCTGATAGCCCTACAACGTCGGGATCCAAGAAAAAGAATTCCTGCACATCTTCATTGCTTGACAATGATTGATCCCGTAACCGGAGGTTCGAGATTGCAGAGATCTGCTCCAAGGCAGCAGACGAAGTAGCCATCGTCCTAGAACAAACGTGGCTTACTCGGTATCCATGGCCGCTGAGGGTTATCATGGATAGAGGACGGAGTTCCGCGCAGAGTCGAAAGACCTCCGGATGAATATGGACTTCGTCGCAAGTCATCACTACGCGTAACCCTCAAGCCAACTCTATGGTCGAGCGTGCTCATCAAACCATACGTAACTTGATCGCTGTTCAAAACATCAAGTGCCAAGACGACCTCGTGAATGGATCCTGGGATGGAGTCCTCACGGCGGTTCGCTTTGCAATGAATGCCACGATTCATACCACCTTGCGGCAACGCCGCACAGCTCTGTGTTCAATCGTGACGCGATTCACAACGTCCGTTTCGAAGCAACTGGAAGTACATTAAGGAACGTCGCCAACGACTAATCCAACAAACAACGATAGGGAAAACGCACGCGTGTCCCTCATCAATACAATGTCAACGATACCGTGATGATTCAACAGTATCAGACCGCAAGTACGGTCAGCAAAGTACAAAGGTCCTTACATATAGACCGAGTCAATGAAAATGGACTGTACGGCTCAACATGTACCGCCAAGGCGGCACAGCTACCAGACTTGGAACATAAGGTATATACACCCATCAAGGCCTGATCCCCTTGTAGGATTGCCATCGTGCCGACGCACATGTCTACATCCAATCTCATGAGAGTGCCCCGCACTTTAAATCATATGTTCTCCTTGTCCGACTGCTGTCGCGCCTTCTGTGACCCTTGTCAGGGGGCGAATGCAATACACGGCTCTTAGCCTTATTCGCGACTCAATCCTAGATAGGGTTTGAGTTCGACTCAGACTGAGTCTCTCGTGAATAGTCATTTGAGACAGGGTTCTCAATGACCGCGCTAGTCATACTAGGTGATGATGAAACATCTCTAGATATTTAGCCAGCGTGGAGACTTCCACGCTACTAGATCCAAGCTAGACAAACCTTCCACGCGTTCCGTTTTAGGATCGTGGAGAGACGTAGGATTACTACCACAACCTACTCTATCACACTTTGTAGTCTCCCGCGGGAAGCCAGATCTACGATCCTTGATGATGATCTCTCTCGTTGATTATTTTCATAGCTTTCTAATCTCTCTCTATCTCATAACTTTCATTCTCTCAAACTCAAAACACTCGAAAGATCTTTACACTAGCTTTTAGCGTAGTGCACTTTTCTATAGTTTCATGTCACAGGAGTATCACATAGTTGGTGCAGACACGAATGAAACATCGTGCAATGAAGACGGCAAACTCACCAGACTAAATATTGATTCTATATCAAAAAGAAGTGGTCAGCATGACAGGTTGCCTCCAGAAGTGGCTCTGTTGCAGAACCTGGAAGAAATTGTGCTTGAAGAGTTCCAATTCCAGACAATCACAGATGTTGTGTTACCAGAGCTGACCCAGCTGAAGGAACTCCATACTCTTCGTGTTGGCAGCAAAACACTCACTGGTACCATCCCTCAAGACATGGTAGAAACCTTGACGACGCTCCAACATCTGGTTAGCTTTGAGATTTTGGCATCCAGACTCACAGGACTCATCCCCACTGACCTGTTTCTACTGACCAATTTGAGAAGCTTTTCTCTGATATCATCTTTTTTTAATGAAGAGATTGAAGATTGGAACCAGAATCGCATGGTTGGGCTGACTGGATCCCTCCCAACAGAAATGTTCCGCATGTCTCATTTGGAACACTTTTCTCTTACTGCAAATGCAACTGGAAGGCTTCTGCCAGAGATTGCTAACTGGAAGAACCTCACATTCTTGAGAGTTTTTGCCAATTTGGAAGGAGAGGTCCCTACTAACTTGGGCGAGTTGACCAAGCTCACACATCTTGCGTTTGCTGGTTGCAACTTCTCATCAAGCACAATCCCAACAGAATTGGGGCAATTGTCCCACCTTGAATATTTGAATCTTTACGAGACCCAAATGCAAGGCTCTCTGCCATCAGAACTTGCCAGATTGCAGCACCTTACGCTCTTTGTTGTTCACAGCAACTCAATCACGGGAACCATACCTAGTGGGTTGTGGTCACTATCTTCCGTGAAAAACCTTGATCTTTCAAACACCCAACTTCATGGGACAATTCCAGACCAAATTGGCACCATGTCCAATCTTGGAAATCTCAAAATCAGCCACGGTGCTTTTCGTGGGAGTATCCCATTTGCCATGTTGGGTTCCACTGTCCGACTGCGACATTTGTTGCTCACAGATAGTTTCTTTTCCGGGGTGGGTCTTCCTACAGAGGTTGGGCTTCTCACTGGTTTGTTGACACTCGATTTGTCCAACAATGGATACCTCAGTGGCATAATCCCCAGTGAAATAGGCAATTGCACAATGTGAGTACACAGATTGTCCCCTTGATCATTTTGCTCCTCCATCCGTCCCTCTTCTGACTTGTTTGTTCCTGTACCCAGGCTGAGCTCTATCCATCTACAAGGGAACAACTTTACAGGAGGAATCCCAACTGCTCTGGGCTTACTTGGCTCCCGACTACGGGAGTTGGATGTTTCCAACAACACCAACCTTGTTGGGCCTATTCCTTCAGAGCTTGGAATGCTCCTGTGGTTGAACCACTTGGTTTTGCATTCTACATCTCTCACAGGCAGTGTCCCAGAAGAAGTCTGCTCCTTAAAAGCGGCCGAAGGAGCCTGGCTCAAAACTATTGTGATCGACTGTTCCAAGGTGACCTGTCACTGCAACTGTACCTGTGGCTGAGAAGAGTCTGATGGCACGTCATGCAGGTTCCCATCATGGACGCGCCAAATAGTTTCATTCTTCCATGCATGTTTGCAGCACCTACATCCATTGCATCCTGTACATCTTACTCTCCCATGGCGTCTACATGTAAAACAATAGACAAAGTTGAAAGACAGTCCGTGCAGCCGTGATTGACACGAGGCAGGGAGCTTCGTCACTATCGGTAGCTAGCTAGGGTACGGTACCGGTTCGCCAGGCTGTACCAGGTACCGGTAGTCAGCCAGAGCGAGCGCAATCCAATGAACGCAAGGAAAGCCTTAACCCTTTCTTGGATCCAGCACCCGAAAGGGACGACGCGTCGATCCAAGTTCCCTCCAAAGAGGACATCACACTCACATCTTTCGATGAAGGTGAAGCAGCTTGTGATCTAAAATTCTCCCTCTACCGCAAAGGTTTCTTTATTCCGCTGGATGAATGAATCTGTTTTGAAGAAGGATCAAACGATACTGCAATCCAACGAGACAAAATGGGTAACAAGGCCTCCAGTGCACAAAACGCTTCCAATGACGCCAAGAGGTACCTAACCAGTGGGCATTTGGGTTCGAAGAAGCAAACATCACCACCATCAGCGTCAGAAATACACTACCGCTCCAAAGACACGTCGGCCAATGCTGGCAAATCTTTGCAGCAAAATCTTTCGACGCAACGGCGTGATTCATCACCAGCAGGAAGAGAGAATACCAATGACGCCACTACATGTAGAACTTCCCCTACTAGCAATGACAGGCCCAAACGACCTGTATCCTCCAAGATTCTAGAAAAGACGGAATGGTTGTCTCAACTCATCTCCAAAGCCGACGGGCAGCAAGAATCACAACAATTCACAACCAACAGAGTTTCACCGCATCGCACGAGCAATTTAGTGGCAGATCGATTGTCCTGGATTCAATCCGAGCTAACGTCTCACAATAATAATGACGTGCCATCGCCGTCCAGGTCCAGCAGTGTGGCCAAACGCCGCAAATCAGAGTTCGTGGCGGATCGGATGCGTCGCTTTAAAGAATCGCTCGAACAAGAGATGGTGCCACCCACCAACAAACAAGAACGTCTTCGTGGAGTGGATTCTCAACTGTTGGAAGGATTGGCATCCAATCGATCCAAAACGTGGCTGCTCCAATCCACAATGACGACAGCCACCAACCAAGCCAAAACAGAAGAGAATCGGACACGGCCAGGAAAACTGCAGGCGGACCAATTCACCATGCAACAAATGAGCACTGTGAGCAAACCACTGCAGCCACCCAAAAAGCCAGGGAAACTCAATCTGGAACAACTACTGGTTCCAACAACCTCCAGAGGAGCAAGGAAACGTTTCCACCGAACAAATACTGTTCCCCTCGTAAGCGTGGCGGAAAAACGGGAAAGGTTCTTGGCAGCGAGTCAAAATCCGCCACGCCAACGACGAATCGTCCGTAAAGAACCAACCAACTTTTTCCAGCACTGCCTGACCGAATGGGAGCAAGAGGGGTTGCTTCCAGACTTTGTGGCCGACCACACCACGTGGTTGTTTGGCGAGTTTTCCGATAACCACCACCACCGAGAGCGGCAGGACCATTGCAGCCTTGTCAACCAGTTACGGTTGGACAATCCGCAAAATGTTCCAACTCCTGATGCTTCACCGTCCTGTGGAGGAGGATTGCAACCAGATTCACCCTGTTTCTCACCCGACACACAATCAGAGGCATCCGCAGCAGTCGTGGACACCATCCAAGATGAGCAACCCACCGATCAGCAACACCAGCCGGAGGTTTGGGAATCCTCTCCGTCAGCAGCAGCCAAACAACTAGATGGTCCTCTTCCGCTTCAAGATACCAAGTGGAAGGATGTGCCGTGGGCTGACATGACATATGGTGAAATGGTGGTATTGGCATCGGAAAAGGCGTCGCTGTGATATAGTATGATGCGTCCATCTGAGACGGAGCAATGTCACGGCCTTTTTGGCTACTAGCAATAATGAAGGGCAGAGGATGCCAGAGGATGCATCGAAGTCCGCAAATGAAAGAGCGCAAAGCCGACTAACTAGATATCATACGCTGAAGCTCATATGGTAGGCTTACCCCTGAGTGCTGATCAATCGTCGTTGGCTGGCCCTCTGGAGTGCATCGTCATGCTTCGCCTTCAAGGTCTAGAAACCCTGGACCATCAGTACTAAACTGTGATTGAACCGCCTCAAAGCATGCAGCTCGTCGCCCTCTTCTATTGTAATGGTGGGACCATTCGAGACAACGGCAGCCACATGCAACAAACAGGTAGGACTGCCTTGACAAATTTGCTTGTTCGTCGCTGAAATCTTTAGATCGTCACGAAACGACTGATGAAGTCGAACCGTGACCGGGCCTTGCAGGCAGCCGTTAACTGGCCAGACACGGATGCTTGCTTCAGCGACAGCTACCACCGCAGCGTTGGCTCTGGCTAGCTGGTTCCCTGGTTTGGTCTGTCTGGAGCTCTCGTCGGTGTTTTCTTGTTGCCAACCAGAGAGAGAGATATCACAATCCTCAATCACTACGAGAAGAAAAAGAAGACAAGACACTACAAGAAGAACATGCTCGTGATTCTCCTCTTCATCGCTTCTGTTATGGCTGTGGTGGGTATGCATTTGGCAGCTTCTCCAGGCTCACGACACCGAATCAGGTAAGAATCTATCACCCGCTCAAACAAGAAACCGGACAGAAGCCTCTGGTTTCCCCCACCATACGAAAAGTTATCTGGGAGTACCAATGGTACTGTGTTGGCGCTCGAATACTTGGTGGGTCCAGAGTAAAGGACTCCCGGCGCTCAATGACGTGAAGAAGACCAACTGTTTCAGAAGACGAAAAGCGAGAGTTGGCCAAAGCAATGGGTAGGAAAGATACATACAATAAAGTACATGTAAAGTAGGAATCAGTACAAGTACAAACAGAACATACATTTAGTAGCTACTTTTATAGTATTTCCTTGAAGATTTTCACCCGAGGCAGAAGCAATTCGTTCTGTAAACGGATTGATTCGGTTCGATTGAATCATTCAATCTTCTGTCTTTGGCATGCGACTCCGGTGAGCTTATTTGGCCCCACTCCAGCATCCAGCAGCAGCTTGCTGCATGTGCTCGAACGACTTACCGGTGTCATGGGTGGACTTAGATGCATGAAGTCAAGTATATGAAATGGGACACTAAATGCACAGGAACATAAGGCTGGGCGAGGGGAGGGGTGCGATCCACATCGTGTCTTGCATCCTCACTGGCGTGTCTTATACTTTTCCAAAGCTTTCATTGATTCCAGCGCCAAAAGAGGAGTTTACATCCGTTGTGTAGTACTAGTAGGCATTTTGCAGTTTCCTTCATAATAGACGATGCCCTCTAAACCAAACGATAATATTGCTCGCGAGCTATCCAGCATTCAAAACAAGATACTCCCTCCGTCCCAATCCAATCGGAGGGAGTACATTCAAAAGAAATGCGGTGCTTGGGCACCAGTACTAGCTATTAATAGTAGTACAGGAATTCATTCGAAGAGGACAGAGATGAAGAGGACTGATGACCTCCAACGCTATCAACGTCTTCTACCACTAAGTCTTTCCACTACCGTATGGAAGTGGGAGTGTGCAGCCTCAGTCCTGTCTACGTAACAAAATTTAGCTGTACTAAGAGGGCACAATTACTTCAGTCACTTTTGCTATGATTCTGTTTATCTGATGTTCCCTTCTCGAGAATTCTTTCAAGTTTTCAAACTTGTTTATTTGTGGTGGTACGGTACCAACAAACAACCAAGCATCCAGCAACAGCTGACTGGCAGCGGTGTGGCATCAACAACAGATGCTCCCCAGAAACTGTGCCATCGCATGGGCCAGAAAAGCTCATAGTTCAATCTTTCTCGACTTTGCAAACATTTGTTCCTTGTTGTGAGCATCGCTAGACCATGAATGCATCCGTATCTTCCGTGGCCAATTCCTCCAATGCAAATCTACTTCCAATATCAACCACTGTTGCTGTCATTCCGCGCAACAGGTGGCAGTTGCTGGTTTCGCCTTCATTTCCCGAACCTCTCCCTTTGGACCTGCCTCCAAGACGTCCTGAACGACAATCCTCTACCGGGAGCCATCCAACCGAATCGAGCGTCCTCTTTCTGGAGCCGATCCTGTTGGCACTCCCTAACAATTCATATCTTCGCGACCGAAAAGTCTCCTTGAAACATTCCACTACACCAAAACGACACTGACGACACTTAATGGGTGCTTCTCCTACTACAAGCTGAGGACGCCATTGGCAGGAGTCGTCCCTAGCCACCTCTGAGTGATCCCTCTGCCAATTTCTCTACTCGCTCTGATCCTCCATTGCTTTTAGTGAGGCCCCGATGTTCTTACGCTCGGGGCCCAGCGCCGCGAAATGTTCCCACCGTCAACGCGGTGATTGATATTCTGGCATACGGCTTGGCTGGATGTGTCCTTGGGTTGTGCTTCCTCGTGTGGATTGATTGAACCGTTCGATTGCTGTATTGACGTAAATACTAGTACATGTAGTAATCTGGTGCCTATTCATAAACCGCAGGTCATCAAAACTACATCGTCTGTTGGCTCGCTGGTGGCTCGCATGGCGGCCCTGGACCGTCCGACGGTTTTCACTCGGGCTTTAAACTTTTCCACGACTGACTCATAATCTGGTTCGGCCAAGGGAATGTCCAAGCTTTAAGGGAATGTTAAGGGAATGTTGAAGATTTAGGGGAATGTGTTAAGGGGATGTTTATTAAAGGGAATGTTCATTCCTGATAAGGGAATGTTCATTCATTCTGAGGGAATGTTAAGGGAATATCACGGGAAAGTTTCCAGCAATGACATCACCGACAACACGAAAGAAAGTCGAAAGTCCAAGAGGACAACAACAACAACAACTACTAGTACTACTAGTACTACTACTACTACTACTACTACAACTACTACTACTACTACACACGAAGAATGCTGAGATACTATGCGTACCGGTAGTAGTACTGTTCGAGTAATATTATCTGAGAGGGACGATCGATGATCGATGCGATGGATGACTGGTTGGCTGCTGCGGAACGTTACCGCACGAAAATAAGGGAATGTTCAGGGAATGTTGAAGGCTTAAGGGAATGTTTCGAAGCCTTAAGGGAATGTCGTTAAGGGAATGTGTATTTAAAAGGGACGGTTAAGAGAATGTTGAGGATTTAAGGGAATGTTTAAGGGAATGTTTCAAACCGTCCTCTGTTGTGGCAATTTTGAGTTTATTTTAAATCCTGAGTGAAAACCGTCGGACGGTCCAGCACCCTCAAAACAAGATACGGCAGGGTGGTCCCAGTACCGGTGTAACGGTAGCAGCAGGAGCACGAGACCAGGAACACTCACGATAAAAGACTTATCAGTATAAATGACATTTTCAAAGCCTCTAAGTCATACAGCATAAAGCTACTTAATCGGCGTGTGTACGAGATTGTCTGCATTTGTCGGAAAATGTCGGCGAAATATCAGAAGGTTTCTCAATCATTTATCCGACATTTACAAAGGATGACTTTCTCTTTTTAAGGCTTGTTATTCACTGGTTCTCACTAGTACTTTCTTTTCGATAGAATGATTTAAGCTCCTCAACGGCTGTTCTTAAATCATCCAACGGCCATCCAATCGTCAATGTCGGAAAAGGCTACTAGTAGCTGAAATAAATGTCGGCAAACGGTTATGACTCTAAAGTAGGTCATTGGGTAAATGAGGTTTTATCTGGAGTGTTCCAGTATCAATTTCTGTTCCCTGGACCAAGCAGCTCTAATAGTCTATTTATTTAAAATAAATGTACTGTACCTGGTATGGTACAGTCAGCAGTGAGCCACTCGAGTATAGTACATCAATCTGCTGTAAATGTTTTGTTGCTGTGATACAGTGAAGCTGTGAAGCAATAAAGGAAAAGCGAACCGGCACGCACAAGGTACATGTACGGTACGAAGACAGAGACTTAAGTCATCGGAATCCTACTGATTTATTGAAACGAATACGTACTAGCTTACATCCTCGAGGACTCATAATATCTCATACGCTAGTAGTATTCTTGTGTTCTTTGATGAGACATTGAGGACGAGTGAGCACTGGTGAGCAGTTCAGTTGGGGATCTCACCAATTGTTGGGGCGACGCAAAATGGTAAGTGGGGACAGACTCGTGGTACCAGAAAACCAGTACGTGTAAAAGAACTAAAGAACTAACATGGACCCGTGTCAGGCCAAGCAGGCAAAAAGTGTCATCAAGCAGGAAACACTCGGTCATCGATTAGATCTACTCGCATGGCTTTAGGCTTCAGGCTGTGGGCTGTTTGCCAGCAGTTCGATATCCCACAACCTCAACAGACCACAGCAGTATTGCAGCACCCTGTCTCATTTTGTGCGAAAGTGCTCAAATTACACCACCGCTGATATTTATTGAGGCTAAAGATGATGAAACTGGGAGAGGTATTACCCCTTTTGGTTGTTTTGCTGCCTTTGCATTTCCGAGCCAGTGCTCTGAGGCTGCAGCCATCTGATTTTCCCAAGCAGATACACTTGAAAGCTGGTACATTCCATGCACCACCCATGATGTCAATTGAAGAAGACCCGCAGAGCGGAAACTTGACCTTCACAGGGTTTCAACCTGATCTGCTTAAAAAACTAAGAGAATACGCTGCGATTGATGGAGTGGACCTGAAGATCGAGCTAGTTCTTGCACCTTCTCGGTATGACCTTGCCTTCAACCTCATTGCAAATGATTGCAACAGCACGGACAATCCCAATTCCTTGGAAGATTGCGAGAAACTTGATATGCTTGTCAGCGACTACTGGAGCAACCCTCAGCGGTACATGAGGGCGGAGTTTACACCGTCTTGGATGAGATCGACTGTGACAACCGTCAAGTACATTGAGAAACCGGAAGGCAGCCAGGATTTCACCACTCTATCAGACTCAGAACAGGCGGGAGCCGCGGTCTGTGTCCCTGTGGGAGCCTACATGTCTTTTGTGCGAGAAAAATTTCCAGGAAACCAGTACATTGATTGTGGTGCTTCTGGGGGCAACTGTGTCGAACTCCTCAAGAAAGGGGATTGCGTCCTCTATGCTCATGACGAGTTGTTGCTACACTTCACTGCCTTGACTGACGCCTCTTTGGAATTGACGCGTGAAAACTTCAATACACAATATATAGCTTGGCCAATGAAAGGAGACTTGCCCCCGGATGTGTCGAGACTGCTGAAGAAATGGATGTATCGTGCAGTTCAAACAGCTGCCTTGGACGAGCTCTACTTCAAATACTACAAACGAGAGCGATGCCCAATTGGCACAGCAGGAAATGAGTGTGAGGTAAGCGAAAGACACTCAGGCTTGACCTTTGTCACATACAGCTCTGTGCATGTAACGGTTGGGGGGTCTGACCTACTACGGTACACTCTCGCCTCCAATCTTTTCACTCCCCGCAAAGCTGCCCTGCGACCCTGATCACGGTACCCCTGATGACAGGTAAATGATCATTTGGAGACCACTTCCTAGGTTTCGTCCTACAGTGTACTCTTCAGAAGTTCGACTCACCCACAATGCAAATATATCGTTGCTTGTTCCAGAGGCAAGTGTGTCTGCGAGTCTGCCAAATGGACTGGGGACGACTGCTCCAGTGAGGTCCCAGAAGAATTGAACATGCTACCCTCCAGCATTGTCCATTTTGCCTATGGATTGGCTTCGATCAACTTTGTATTGGTGTCATTGTGTGGTCTTTGGCTATTTCGGAATCGAACAAGGTCGCAAGTAAAGATCAGTCAGCCCCTTTTCCTCGTGATAATTTTGGGAGGATGCCTCATCAGTACATCCACAATATTTGCCATGGCCCAGCAATCAGCAGGAGATGGACCAGTCATTGCATGCTCAATCATTCCTTGGGCCTATTCTGTGGGCTTCTCTTTGACCTTCGGGGCCCTGTTTGCACGTGTTCGCAGGATATACCAACTTTTGAATTCCGCCCTGAGAATGAAACGTGTGGAAGTTTCCACAAAGGATACACTGATGACAGTAGCACTGGTTTTGCTCATAGACGTCGCAGTGCTCACAGTGTGGACCATTGTCAGTCCACTGGAATGGCAAAGAAACGTCACTAATGTCTCGGTGCTGGGCGAGCCCCTGAGCTCCAAGGGATACTGTGTTTCAGAATACTGGGAGGTTTTCGCCGGTCTGATCGCTTGCTTCCATTGCATTGTCATGGCAGTGGCTTGCTACATGTGTTACCTGGCTCGCAGGATCCCGGAAAGAATCTCCAATGGAAAAATGGTAGCAATCTCTTGTCAGTAACTTTCTCATGCGTCAAACTGAGCGACGCGCAGCTACCGTAGGAACAACTCTCACACAGGTTGCATTTTGTTTTTGCACACAATCAATCACGCCAGTGTAAGTTCATGCATCTTCGAGGCGGAGATGTCAGTTTCGTTGATGTGATACCTCATCATCCTATTTGCCGTCGTACGCCGCGCCACCAAGGTTCTCCAACTTTCAAATCTTTGTCATTGTCATACCAGTTTTGATCATGCTGGGCTCTACCAATCCTCAGGCAAGCTTCTTTATCCGCTCGTGTGCCATTTGGATCAACGATTTTGTGGTGGTTCTGTTGATTTTCGGTGATCTTGTCCTGAAAGTGTACAAGATTGATGGCAATATGGTTAGTACTTTTATGGGGAAGGAGTGGGCAGAAGAGAGTTCTGATAGAGCTCCTGCTTTGGTCAGCCACGTTGAAATCTGCAAAGATATTCGGGCATATTCAGCCAAGATGGATTCCACACGGCAGTTTTCCATCCAGGAGGTCTTGGAGGAGGAAGGTAGCGAGGAGGAGGAGGAGCCAATCACTGCACAAGTTGCGTTGGCTTCCGATCCCAATCTTCAACCTGCAGGGACGTTCGAAATGGAAACTACGGAAGCTTCTGACACCAAGTTCAAATGTGTAGGTGTTCCTCTTCTGGATGACGATCGTAGAACATCGGTGACCGAGGCAGTGACAGAGGTGGAACCAGATGCCAAAGAGGACGTTTCGGAAGTCTTTGACATTCGTGATGTGATCGAAGCTCGAACCAATGAACACAGTGCCGCCAGCGTAGCCGAGAGGATCAAGCTTATTGCATTTGAGAGGGAAATGGAACTATCTGAGAGAAATATACAAAGAAAGGATGACAAACATCAGACTGCGAAACAAGTGGATTTGGATCCGCCCAGAAGTGGCCCACCAGAGGGCGATATCGGGGCATCGTCGGAAGCGGGAGATGAGGATGATGACACGATCAAGCTACGCTACAAAGCAGCAATGCTTGCTTCCCAGGATGATGCAGTCTAAACTCTGCCAGCCACAAAACTGGAACGACTGTAGCGAGACGGCAGCTGGCACAGGCAACCGCACGCAAATAAATGATTAGACAAACTCTTTCACCGTTGCTAATTTGCCCATCTGTACGGTAGGAACCAGGTACCGGTACTCTGAAGACCTTCCACGGTGTGGATCATTCGGGTTTCGTGATTCCTGAACGTGACTCATTGATCTTTCAGGAAACGGCAAAGAAGCGTCCACAAAGGTCCAGAGATCTTTTTAGAGTCCTCAGTCGACGACGATGACACTAAAACCTTTTTGCAGAATCCATTCAATTCTTTAGCTTCAGTGAAACCACAAACGTCAATCACCAGAGTTCTTGTGTGGTCGATCGCTTGATTGCATCTTCATCAGACTTCCTTGACACCAGTCGTGCGCTTGGATACCGGTAGAAGAGAAGAAGCCACAGAATACTTTTTCTCATTTTTCTACATTTTTGGGCCAGCAGATAGAATCTGAATCATTCGATCATTCTATTCTATCCAGTGTATACCATGAAAATCTTGACTCCTGTTTTCGCGCTCAAGCAGGCCCTCCGCCAGAAGAGTGCCTTGTCGAGCGTTCGCCACTTTGGCGCTTCGGGTGATGTTGTTCCTACTGCTGATTCCATGATGGCCTTGTCCAAGGAACATTGGCTGGATTCTAGCACTGGTGTCTACAAAAACTACGTCAAGGGATCCTTTGTGGAAGCCCAAGACTCGGGTACCTTTCATTCCGTCTTCAATCCAGCCACCAACGAGCTGATTGGAAAAGTCCCCGACACGAGCGACGCGGAATTTGACTCTATAGTGGCAAAAGCTCAGACGGCCTTTGAGGATTGGAAGACGGTTCCGGTCCAGCAACGACAACGAGTCATGTTGGAATACCAGCGATTGATTCGAGAAAATACCAATGAACTGGCTGGTTTGATTACTCTGGAAAATGGGAAAACCATTGCCGATGCCAAGGGAGATGTCTTTCGTGGACTGGAAGTCGTTGAAACAGCATGTCAGGCAGCTCCTCTTCTACTGGGAGACTCCTTGGCCGGCATTGCCACCAATATTGACTGCATCTCCTATCGAGAGCCTTTGGGAGTTTGTGCAGGAATTGGTAGGTCTTTCTATTTATTTTTTGATCAATGCAGCAATGATTTCTTCTTCGCGCAGTGCTCCATGGATGGCACATAGTTGCTTTCTTCTAACCAAACTTTGCTGTCGTCATTTTTGTTTCTGGATGGATGTAGCTCCCTTTAACTTTCCTGCCATGATTCCTCTCTGGATGTTCCCTCTCGCAGTGACAGCTGGAAATACCTTTGTGCTCAAACCATCGGAAAAGACTCCCGGTGCTTCCATGTTACTGGCAGATTTGGCCACCAAGGCAGGTTTGCCCGAAGGCGTCTTGTCGATTGCCCATGGAGGAAAATCCACCGTGGACAATATCTGTCGTCATCCCGCAATCAAGGCAATTTCCTTTGTGGGTAGCAACGCTGCCGGAGAATACATTCATGAAGAAGGAAGCAAACATGGAAAACGAGTTCAGGCCAATTTGGGTGCCAAGAATCATGCCGTACTGCTTCCCGATGCCAGTCGAGACGCCACCGTCAAGGCCATTGTGGGTGCGGCCTTTGGGGCGGCGGGACAACGATGCATGGCTCTGAGCACGTTGGTATGCGTTGGAAAGACGCAGGAATGGATTGATGATATTGTACAGGGAGCCAAAGAATTGACAGTGGGAGGTGGATTCGATGTGGGGGTTGATGTAGGACCTCTCATTTCGACGCAATCTCAAGAACGGGTCCATCATATTATTGATCAAGCAGCCAAAGAGGGAGCCCAGGTACCACTGGACGGACGGCAGAAAGGGAACGTAGAAGGATACCCCAATGGCAACTTTGTCCATCCCACGGTGCTCGCCAATGTCTCAACGGAGAACATTGCTTACCGAGAAGAAATCTTTGGACCCGTCTTGACCTGTGTGGAACCGGTGGATACCCTGGAGGAAGCCATTCAACTCATCAACGGCAATCCGTATGGGAATGGAGTCGCCTTGTTCACATCGAGTGGTGCTGCAGCACGAAAGTTCACTCATGAGATTCAGGCCGGTCAAGTGGGCATCAATGTACCCATTCCCGTTCCCTTGCCCATGTTCTCCTTCACAGGAAACAAAGCTAGTATCCGAGGAGATATCAACTTTTACGGAAAATCTGGGGTGCAGTTCTACACGCAGCTAAAGACAGTGACCACCAATTGGCCCGTTGACGAGAATACGGATCTGGGAGGCGTCATCATGCCCACCATGGGTAAGAAATAATAGAGAATCAATGAAATAAGCAATAGACACAAGTTTGCATTCTCGCTATGGTCTATTGTTAGATATCTTGGCAAGCTATTTTCTCATTGAGCTGCCTGCTGGTATTGGGTTCTCATTGAAAAATCTTGTGAGCAGTGGCCAAAATTTTATCACAGAACATTTCAAATACCGCGGGGAAGCACAACAGGTTCCCTAGCTATCTAGAAACGTAAACATCCAGTATCATGGAGATATTCGGGTGAGTTGGCGTATTATTTAAAAGTATGCATTAACTTACTGAACGATACTAGTACCGTTTCAAGTAGTGGAACTACCAATCGTAGTTGACAAACTCAAAGGGACCGGGTGGAGCCACTTGAGTTAGTTGAGATGTATGGTATTTGCTCCACTCGTTCCTTCCTACTTTCGACGACGACAATTTCCAGTGTCACAAGCTTCAAAGCAAGCTTCCTTGGCGGGAACCTCGTTTCCGTGGTTATCGGTTCCAAAGACATTGCAACGTTCGATAGGCTTATGAGACACCCAGGCACAGCTTCTCTTTTCTCCATCGAACTCGGCGCGGAAGAAGGTGCTGTCTTGGCACATGGGTCGAGTATGCTCGGAGGGTGAGTTGTGATGATCATCTCTTCCCGTACCCGTTCCGTGGTAACTACCCTGCAAGTAGGTTGTGTCCGTTTTCTTGGCGAACATCATCGGACTCAAGACGACCAGCAAACAGAGACCCAGGACAATCAAGGCCAACACTGTGTATTGAACAATCTGCTGCATGGTGGCGGTGTTGGTGATTCAAGGAAATGTGGCAACCAAAAGAGAAATCAACAGCAACAGCAGCAGCAACAGCAGCACAAATGATAGAAGAGCTGATAGAAACTGCCGTTTTTGCTGTGTGTTGTTGCAACCAAGCAAAACGGGATGCTCCAAGATCTTTTGCCACTATCGGAAGACTGTACGATGTCTGCCAAACCATCTCACGCAAGAAATGACCCCTACCAATAATCTTCAGTTGAGAATCTGCATCAGTTGAACAATGAAAAGACACTTCTGCCTGCCGAGAACCACGGCCCCACAAGTTGCCCCGTTGCGGTTGTCGGAACGCAAATGAGCAGTGATGAGCACCATTGGGCTCTTTGTCAGCCGATTCTCGCCTTAATCTACCTTTATCATTAGATGCATCAAACACTTTGCCGTATAGATTTACTCTCATGGATACCAAGCAGTGCGGGTAAATTGCTAATGCTGCCAATTTGGAAGCACCAAGGAGATATTTACGAGCAATGCCTTTAATAACATCATTTTCCATTGCACGTGGTATCATCATTTCAACTTAGGCTTCAGTTTTTCACAAATGCCTCGCACTGAATGGAGACATTTTGCTGAGCACAATGAATGATGATAGTGTGCTCAGCACCAAGAACAGGATCTCAATCCTTCTCGCGTTGTCTGTTGCTTTTATGCTTGATGGCCAGCCAGTGCACCACGAGTGTGTCTCGATTGCGGGCAGCCACGGAACGATTCGTCTTGTGGCCTTTGTCGATAAGCAAAGGCAAGTCTGAAGTAACCAGAGAAGATCCGTTGCTCTTTCACTGTGACTGGGCCACTTGGTCTCACGGCATTCTATTTGCTCTGTCGATGGGACCGTGACCTTTCCTCCTTCTTGAGGAGGATGTGCTTCTGTGAGAAGTGCTGTGGTGGTGCAATCTTGAGGAGATGTTTCGGTGAAGTGTCTCAAGCTGAGGACTACAGCACATCCAATTGGTGACAAAAGGTCTCTCGAGGCCAATGCCTCCAAGTCGCAGCTTGACGCGGGCCCATTAAGATTTTTTGGGACCCGTTTGATGTGCCTAACAAAGAAAGAAACAAGTTGTCGGAGCGGCACCCTTTGGAAAAACCTTTCGCTCCTTGCATATCGCTCTATGTTGTCCAGAGATTAGGGGTACGGTAATACAGTCGTAATACTATAGTAGCAGACCTAGAAACAACTGTGACTCGGCGACCTTTTGTTTTGTAAAAGAGCAACGGCATAATAATCGAATTGGTACGATTGATGAGGAACCGGTGACCCCGAGTCTCTCTCGGGCATACCGTAGGAGCTCTAGGTAGTGCCAGAATAGCTGCCAGAATGGTACCGGACGAAGGTATTGGATTGGATTGGTACCACACGGCCACACGGCAATCGGAATGTGCTGCCCGTATCTTTGGTCACTCTGAGGGAAAACAAGCCTGTTGGGATTCTTTCTCCTTGAGTTTTTGGTGCTTGCAGAGTCTTGGTGTACAAATTTTGGCCAGTTGTTGCGTGGACCCGGTTATGACGACGAAGCCTTCTGCTCAGAGGACACGATTTGTACCGAAAAACTGTGATTCGATTCATTCGACTCATGTCAAGTCACACTTCAATTATGCATCACTCCCATGACCACCTCCACCTTCTGTCACAATACTTAAGGGTTACATGCAGCTTACAGGTGGGAGGAAGGACAAAGTACACAAATCTCTACTGTAGAAGCAAAGCCGTAGAACTATAAAGCACCCATTTGGCACGATACATGTAGAGATGCGCAACAAAGTGTTCTGTACCTTTCCAACCCGCTGTCTTCTTGCTCTCTCTCACTCTCTCGGCAGGGAGCTGTCAGGTGGGATTGCTAGCTAGCAGGCAAAGGAAGATACTTGGTCCTCACAAATTTCAGTCAGCCAAAACCAAAAGGCATCAAGAAACAGTCTCAATAAAGACAACTAACTATTCGAATAGTAACACCAAAAAAGAAGGTAAGACAATCCATTCTTTTCGCATTGACCTCTTGCCTGCAAAACCTCTGCAAGGGGCCAGAAACGAAATCTCATAAAAACTTTGGCTTACGATCCAAGATGCATTTTAGGTACGCTTTCGACCCTATCCCCCTCGTGAAAGAAAACATCACAGCCGTAACAGCAAGCATGGATCCCTACGGCGACTACAGCGATTTGCCCCAGTTCCATCCTGGAATGGAGTACCGGGGCCCACCACCTCCCGTTTACTACGTGTACGATCATCGTGCAGCAATGCCAATGCGAGCCTATGAGCCAATCATCCCTCATGAGAACGATATTCTCATGGGGCGTGGGGGCAAGAACAACCAGCATGTTGGTAAGTTTCATACAGCCAACTGCTGAATGGGCGATGTCACGCCGGTCACCAGCACCAACTAACTGCTAACCAATGTTCCGAAACCCACCAACTGTTGCTCTCCTTCAGGAAACGAAAAGTTGCGCAAAGTAAGTCGCCTTGATTGTTATAGAGAGTTTACTGCCGTACAGCTTTCAAACCCTCACATGCGTCTCTTTGTCATGCTTAGCTCGCCCGCAAAGATGCTAAGGAATACTGCACTTCCAGCAAAAAGGGGAAATCAAACATTGCAAGGGGCCTTGTCATGAAAGTTCGACAGATGCAACCCTCTGGCCGCTTTCTGAAGCGAAATCCAATTACATCCGAGTGGGAAGGTAAGCCAAATTTGTGCCTGTGACGAATCATGTTTGAGTCGTCCCAAAGGCAACTGACATTGTCGTGCTTGATTTCTTGCAGATGTGGGAAACGAGTATGCTCGTGAGAAAGCCTCTCAAGTCCTTCGTGACGCCGTGGCTCTGCTTCCCGAGTCAGACACTGCTGCCGATACCGCCACCGTTGCCACTGAAGATGATAGGAGTGACAATGGCACCGCTGCCGATCCCGACGATGCCCCCGATCTTTCGCCAGAGGCATCACCCAAATACGACAAGAAACCAGCAGCAAGGCGTCAAAAGCGAAAAGCCGAGTCACCACTAGAATACGAACGACCAACAATCTTCCATCACCCTCCAGCTCCACGGTCCTGGCATTTCCAGTCCACAGCCGCAACCTTGAGCCCTCCAACTCCTGTGAGACCAGTTCTAACTCCACCTCCTATGAAGCGTATGTTCTCTGGCAGCATCTTTGAACGTTCCGCATTCTTCACCAGTGGACCAAACAGGGACGAACCCAACCCCGCCGTCAGCAACAACAGCAGCTCCAACAATAGCATTGTCCCGCCTCCTCTCAGCCCATTCCTGAACCGACAGGAATCTCTGTGCTTATCTTTGGGGGCTGCTTCTTTGCCGGGAGAAGGGTTCTTGCTTCGGGACAGTGACCATGCACGTATTCCCACAGAATTCACCACTCGTACTCCACCGTCAGATAGCAACGCCGACGACGAATTTGTGTCCGATTTCTACTGAGTAACCAAACAAACAAAGAACGCCGAACGTGATGACAACGATGTGCGAACTTAATACACTAAAGTATATATGTAAACATTCCCATTTATGTTTTTGTCTACCGATGTTCACTGCTGCCTTTTCAGTTGCTGTGGATCACATCTGTTGAATCGGTATCCCAGCCCTCTGCTCATTCCGATGGTGCGGCTGCAACTTTCCCTTGGGCGTCTGTGACGGTGTGATCGTGCGTGTTGGGATCGCGTCGCGCACGTCTCGCCTCATTTTTTCGCCAGTTCCATTCCACCGGCAGGGAACACATCATGACAAAAACCAGCAACACAAGCAACAAGCAACGCCCAGCATGGCACCTTTCACCGGATTGTTGGCGCGGTTCATGGTGGCATCCTTGAGTGCTTCTGCCTCCAACAACGATGCGACGATTGGTAGTGGTGGCGATCAGTACATTCATGCCAAAGAGAACGTCGAACGGCAAGGGCTGTTGCACCAATGCTTTCGTCAATCATCCAGTGATGCCTTTTCCATGTCGGGCATCTTGGAGGCATCTCAGCACCACCACAACAACGACAAGGAAACTTTTCGAGTATTGGAAATCGGATGTGGAGCAGGCCATACGACGTTGGATTTGTTACTTGATGTTCTTCCAGATCATTGTCACATCACCGCTGTGGATGCAGATCCCAAGTTGATTGCATCGGCACAAACACGCCTTTCTTCGCAAGGCTTTTCAGAACTACAACAGAAAAGAGTTACCTTTCAGCATCAGACTGGAGAATCGCTAGCTGAGTCAATGGCGGGTCAATTCGACTCTGTCTGGGTAAGGTTTGTCGTGGTCCATTTACCGGATCCACTTGCTTTCTTGGAAGCAGCAGCCGAGTGCCTAAAGCCAGGAGGTACAATCCTCGTTGAAGACATTTACGTGCCGGGGGCGACTTCGTTGTGTCATCCGCCGCTTTATGCACACACCTTCTTTCATGAGATGCACACAAAGGCAAGCCGAAAGCTGGGTGGGGATTTGACTCGAGGTGCCAAGATTGGTGACTACCTGCAGTCTTTGGGATCTCTGCAAAATATTCAATGCAACACGTTCGCACCCATATTTGGACGAGGAGTCACTGTCAGACCGTGGACATCTCACTCACAGTCCGCGAATAGCAGTCGCAGTCAAGAAAACACGGACACTTCGACCAACCGGTTCAACCTCGGTTGGAGTCTACTGGAACAGTCTCTGGCGTCTTTGATGCCCAAGCTGAGAGAACTGGAAGTATGCACGGAAGAGGAAGTTTCTCGAGCTGAGGAGAGCCTCGCGTCTTGGAAACGAGAACAAAAAGCCAAAGGTGACGACGATGAACGTACGTGTAGTTACCAGATGTTTGCTCTGCCAGATGGAACGGTCTTCCAATGGTGGGCAACTAGAATGGAAACATAGTCCGTGCAATGGCATCCAATATTGTAGAACTCGTAGAGACGGAGTTTCTATCGAGCACCGATCCAGCTTGTTAGATGCATTATTCTTTATTCTTGCTTGTATTAAAAAGGTAAAGAGCGGCCATGTTGCAAACACAAAGGCAGGAGCACAATAGACTGCGCCACTGCAGCATCAACAACATTTGCTTGGCCACATGGATGGTGACTAATGACACCAGCAAGCAAAACCACTGCAGACTGACAAAGCTCAACAAGAAGAATGACATGTGTTGGTTTTGAATGGATGGCCGATGATTGGAACCACAATGTGTGACCCCGATGTCAAACCGGTAAAGGAAATGTAGGTTCAGAGGATTTTGTAGTGAATGCTCTGCAGAATGGTCAGCGACTCGTAGACGTAGATTGGAACTGTGACGGGGGATCCGTTCAGACTCCCAAGAGCCACAATCGTGCAGACACAGGAATTGTATTCACATCGGGGAACGATCCCAAGAATTGTTGGCCCCAAGCCCGCCAACCCAACCAAACTGAACAGTGCGATGATAAGAAGGTCATTTTGACGGCCTTGAAAGGCTTTTGGGTTCAAAGTTCAAAGTATGCGCCTTGTGGACTCCCCATGGTCAAAAGAGAAACAGCGCCGCAGGGGCACCATTGAAGGTCAACATGCAGATGCTGCATTGCAGTCAAGCTATTGTGCCCTTATCCAAACTTGTGAAAGGATGTCCAGATCAATTTCAGCTGTACAGGCTTGAAGGTGCAAGCCACATGAACTTTTCGAATTTCTAGGGTGAAAGCGGTAGAAGGCAGTGATCTGATTGGCTGAGAGGACCGAAGAACAATGTATATGTCAGCGATATATAAGGAACAAGATTTAAATCAATTAACGTACCATTTATAGTTATTACGGATACAGTGTGCTATAAAGTTCAAAATTTCGTGTTTCTGTTTTCGCGAAAGAAGGATTCCTCCGTTCGAAAGAGGATTCCTCGTTCGTTCGATCGTTCGATCGACAATGACAACACCACCGGCAACACCACCGGAGAGCCACTCGACAGTCATTATCTCGGCCAAAAAGCCAGTAGCAGCAGCAGAAGAGAGCATCATGGAGCCACCAACAGCAGCAGCAGCAACAACACAAAATGGAGGAATGGGTTGCCAAAGCCAGAATAGGTAAACTCCCAGCAGAAGAGAGCTATCAACACGCCTCCAACAACAACAACAGATCCAAGAGAGCCAGAGAAGAAGGACCGCAAACAACACTGGAGGAGTGGTAGGAAAAACAGATGCATCCAGCTATCGCTCTTCCTACCAACAGGAAGTAACTTCGTAGATTCATTGGACCAATGAACTACCAAGGGCTGTCCAGACAGCAACGGAGAACCATCGTTCTGAAACAGACGGGTTACCCAGGATCCATGACGGTCGTCATGGACAAGAGAACGTGAGTCCCGCAGAGGTCAAGAAGACTCTCCGGGATGAACATGGACTTCGTCGCAAGTTCACGCGGTCAATCGTGACAAGCTTACCACATCCGTTTCAAAGCAAACCGGAAATACATCAAGGAACGTCCCAACGACTTATCCAGAAAAACACCGATAAGGAGAACACGGCACTGTCCCCCATCAACACCATGTCAACGACACTATGATGATTCATCAGTATCAGAACCGTTAATACGGTCAGCCAACGCACAAGGTCCTTACCACACAGACCGAGAATAACAATGGCACTGACGGTCCGACAACTACCGCCAAAGCGGCACAGTCTACCAGACTTGGAACATAGGTATTTACACCATACAAGGCCTGATCCCCTTTAGGATTGCCATCGTGCGACCACATGTCTACATCCAATCTCCGGAGAGTGCCCCGCACTTTAATTCATATGTTCTCCTTGTCCGACTGATGTCTGCCTTCCGTGACCCTTGTCAGGGGCGAATGCCATACACGGCTCTTAGCCTTATTCGCGACTCGATCCTAGATAGGGTTTGAGTTCGACTCATGACTGATCTTTCGGAATAGTCATTTGAGACAGGTTCTCATGACCGCTAGTCATACTAGTCGATGGTGAAACATCGCGCTAGATTTTAGCTTGCGTGGAGAGATTCCACGCACTAGATAAAGCTAGACGAATCTTCCACGCGTTCCGTTTTGGATCGTGGAGTGAGTAGGATTGCTACCGCAACCTACTCTATCACACTCTACAGTCTCCCGCGGGAGTTCAGATCTACGATCCTTTGATTGTGGATCTCTCTCGTCGATTAGTTTTCATAGCTTTCTAATCCTCTCATAACTTTCATTCTCTCAAACTCAAAACGCTCGAAAGATCTTTACACTAGCTTTTAGCGTAGTGCAAGATTCCTTTGTTGCAACTGACACTTTGGATCTCTCTTGTGTGTCTTGTGTTGTCGCTGATTCTCCATGGATTCCTGTTGGAGGCACAAGCGCATCATAGATGTCACGGATGGTGTCACCAAGAGGAGGAAACTGTCTGATGTAAGTGCCATCCTTTTGAAGAAAGGGATCAGGATCAGTGTCGCTTCCTTGCAGTATGAGAAGTAAGACTTCATGGCTCTAAGATACTCTCTGTTGATTGCTTGTAGATAGGGGCTGCATAGGTTTCCATTTCCATAGGTTAACATGATAGAATCGAATACTTCTGTTGCTGTTCGCTCCAAATGACAAGCCTTGTTAGGTAGAGCATACTTGGACTCCACTGGATAGAGCAATGAAGCATGGTCTGGGATCGAGACCAGCACTTCTGCAGAGTTGCATCGAATCTTCTTTGCAGCTTCCACAAACCATGGACATGACCATACACAAGAAGGAGGACCAGTGAGCCAAAGATAGGGAACAAGGTCTTGTTGTGTGACCATTTGTCCTTGTATTCTTGAGTTTGCCAGAGCATCTTCCATCGGGACAAGGAACTGTGATTCCACATCGATTCCAGTCCACCAGTAGGAGTTTCTGGCCACGATAGAGTGATAGTGAGGGGATTTGAATTGCTCCTTTGTGGATGGAATTGTCATGGTAAGACCTTCGAAGTGTTGGCTGATTAGGTCTTGATTCTTTGACCTTGTAATGGATTCTGACACTGCTTCTGCCATTGCTAGCATTGCCAGTGGTGCTCCTTTCGTCTTGTGCTTTTCCACAAAGGCACTATCATTTACAAGAGTGGTTACCTTTTGACAAAGAGCACTGGAGTGGTTGTGTTTTTTGCTGTTGCCGCTCTGCTTTGGTTTGGCTGTGTTGGTTCTAGCGCAAAGAATGCTTCTCCATTTTCTTTGTGGAATGCCTCCAGCTTCCTCTCTCATTCAGTGGTAGAGGAGCACTGAATTGTCTGGTGAGTCTTCTGCTTTCTTTGATTGTCTCCATGGTCAGCGCATTCAAAGGTCCTTGTCCTTTGTTATGTATTCTTAATACAGAGAACAGAGTGTGATCTTTTGGGATCTGAGAACAAGATGTCTGGCCTTACAGATGACACAGTTCTTGAGTGGATCAAAAACTTCTG